AGGAGGGGAGCTGGAAGAAGTTCATCTGGAACTCGGAGAAGAAGGAGTTTTTGGGCAGGACCGGCGGCAGCTGGTGTAAGTACGGGGCCCGCGTCTCCCCCCCAGCGCCTCGGGTCCCCGGCGGCGCATCCCCGGCGCGGGCTCTGCGGGCCGGCTGGGCTCGTCCCCGTGCCGCCTGCGGGGTCCCCAGGACCCGCGCGCGGTCGGGGCCGGAGCACGCCAGGCAGAGGTTCTGTGTATGGGCAGCCGTCTGTCCGAGCATCGCCCGAGCCCTTCCCTGCTGGGGGTGGCCAGCCGCTGGGAGACTAGAGGTGTCTCTCCCGATGGTCATGTCCCAGGTCCGTAAAAAACAAAACAACAACAACAAAAACCGAGATTCGAGGCTCCCCAGGGTAATGGGATCTAGTGCCGGCAAGGTTGCGTGTCACAGCACCTCCGAGTCTAAATATGTAGCTCACAGGCGCGGGGCGGGCGACGCCTCCCATGCACACTGCAGCATTTCACCGCGATGCCCGGAGTCCCCCGTGACCTCTCTGGTGTCACCGCAGCCCCGAAATGGCCCAGGAAGCTCCCCGTCAGGACTCCGTTTCTGAGGCATGGCCCCGAAACAGGGCAAAGGCTGGTGTATCCAGTGTCTGCACAGAGAGGCCGGATCGGTAGCTTGGGGTGATTATTATGAACGATTCCTCTGAGAAATAAAGGGCACAAAGGCAGAAGCAGGTCATCCCATACGATTTCGAGCAGCCTGTTGCTTGGCTGATTGGACGTACCCCACCCCACCCCACCCCCGCCCCCCATTGAAAATTAGGCACCTTACTTGTTTTCCAATTCCCTATACCCGGAGGGACACGCGTTTTGTTTTTTTTTTTTTAAAGGTCATTTTGAAGGGCAGAGTTGTAGGCAAATCTATGAGTCGTGACTGCAGAGAGGGAGGGAGGGAGGGAGGGGGAGCCCCCTCCTGCATCACTGCCCCCTCCTCCTGCTCTAATACCACCACCATCATCATCATCGTGGACACCCCCTGCACCACCACTGCAGCCACTGAGGGAGCCTGGAGAGGGGCCGACGCGGGTTCCTGATTGGGAGGCTCCGTGGGCATCAGCAGAATGAGTCAGGGAAATAGTGCTTGGCTGACATTTTGAAATGGAAGCAGCCGGAATATATGATTTTTGTTGAGAAAAATAAAATGCAGCTTGTGATGTGGGCCTCCCTCGATCGAAAAGTGAAGGGTTAATAATGCATCACCGTTCAAGGTTAGTCAAGGTGAAACCTCATTCCAAGGTATTACGGGGAAGTATAGGTGTCCCGGAGCCACGGGATGTGGAGGCCTCTAGGTGATGGCTTTGAGCTTCTGTTTTACGTTGAGTCGGATTTGGGGGAGACTGTCCTTCAGAGGGTTAGTGCCCGTGTCACAGTGGTTCCCTGTGTTTTCCTAACGAGGAAGGGAAAACCTGAAGAACATGGGTGTGTGTGGGTGACGGGCTCCCGCCAGGGCCATCTCCTAGCAACTGCTGGCAACTCGAGTGAGGCCTGGCGGGGGAGGGGGCTGCAGTGAGGAAGGGCCCCCTGCCCTGGTGGTCTGGCCCAGCCTCGCTCGGCCGGCCGGGGCTGCACTGACTCCAGGCATATTGTGAAATTTGCCCTCTAGTCTTTCCCCCCTCATAAAATATATTTCTTTCCTCATTCCAATTCCAGAATAATATTTGCTTTAGAGGTAAGGCGGTATAGGACGACTTGTTCTTTAAGCCGATGTGTAATGGGGCAGCACCTCCATATGAGACAGAGAGAGAGAATGTGCGTGTGAGTATTTGTGTCGTGGTCCCACATCAAGCGTACGATTTGTGAATGCAGACACCAGGACGGGCGTGCCCGTCTCATCGTCCATTTTCCGAGGGGCAGGGGCTGGGTTAAAAATCCAGTGTGTGTTTTGCGCTAATATGTCCGCTCCCTCCTGGCAGTGTAAGAAAGGACAGAGCCTCTCAGCCGCTCGTGGGCAGAGAAGGTGGCAGCAGCTGCTGTCTCTGATGGAGAAAGTGCCACTTTCCAGCGCTGAGCCCAGCACGGGTGCCCTTGGGACTGGGGCCGGTTGCCCTTGGCTCAGTTTTGCTTATAGGTAGATAGATGTTCACCAAGATGGAAGCGGGAGCCTCGCCTGTCACCTGCTGGAGAAACCGCGGCATGCAAAGCACCTGTGCTTTCCACCTTTTAAGTTGCCGCAGGCGCTGGCATGCAAAGTACCTGTGCTTTTTACCTGCTTTATGACATTAACAGGTGTTGGTAGGTTTTGTGTTTACCACTGGGCCCAAATGGCATTTTTTTTCCTTCTGCTTGTAACCCTTTTGAAGGGTACTGTTTTTGTTTTTTAATCTCATTGGAAAATCTCTATATTGTATTTTTTAAAAAGAAGAAAAACTGCTTCAGAAGAAAACGTCGAAAGCTTACCGTCTGTGCCACCCTGGCCAGCTGTGCAATTTGCCCAGCTTCTCTTTCTGAGCAGCCCCTGGTGGCCGGCCTGCCGGTGAGCCCGTGGCACGGGCCCTGCCAGACCCACACGCTCCCCTTTAATCAAGCGACCTCACCTCAGCGACCGGGCGGATTTCGCTAAGTGACATCTCAAAGCAAAAGCGGAGAGCTCCGCTCTTGCCTCGGGGTCCCGCAGAGTGGGCAGGCTGGCTCTTCTCGCGCGTGATGAGTGTGCTTGGCAAGCGGCTTGTTTTTCCGTCGCCGTCTTTGTGTTTTAAGTGGTGGCCTCCATTATGTGCCTTCTCGTGTGGTTAGACTCAGGTAGCTGGAGCCCAGGGAAGGAGCACGGAAAAGCTCGGTTGTTGGCAGAGCCAAACGTGTAGATGAGCTGAGCGCGCCAAGGCGAGGCGGGGGACGGTGTCAGAGGTTACAGAAGTTCTCTCTCTGACCGTGTTACACCAGCTCTCGCACCTCTCAGAAGCATTCGCTGGAAAAATTTTCCAGCTCCGTTGACGTCACAGCCTTGCCATTTGCCTGCTGCTGCCTGGATACGGAACGCAGCGCTTAACCCTTGCGGGCCCGGGAGGCGGCCGGGCGTGGGCAGCCGTCGCTCGGGGTCCTACAGTCTTTTCATTTCTCCTTCGCTCGCGTCTCTGCCTTTCTCCTTGTTTTTTGTTTTTTTTTTTTTTCCTGATAGAAGGGAAAAAAGGATTATCATCAAGCATTCCTGATGTGGTTCTGTGTGTTTTGCTTGTTTTAACAACTCTAAAGCAGGATTTCCCTGAACTGTTTGTTTGCTGGCGGGAAGGCCCCAGGCTTTTGACCTTGGGGACCGGGCCAATTCCTGTCACCCCGCGCCCACTCCCCCGGCTTCCCTCCCGCCACCCACACAGCCCGTTCTTTTCAGGGGCACTGCTGTCCGGTGCCTTTTCCCCAAGGACCCCCCGTGTCTCACGCCGGAGACCTGGGCGTCTTCAGGAGCGACCTCAGGCCCCTTTGTGCAGTCACGTTTCAGACTCGCTACGCGCACGGTTCGCTTCTCCGCAGCGCGTTCACGGCGCCGCCCGGCACGGCCTGTCACCGTGCGGCTAATCGGAGAGGATCCTCGGAACGCGGTGGCCTCACTCCAGCCTCCGGCCGCTTGGTCGGGGTCTTCCCATTCTTTTCCTTTGCTTTTGCTGCGGTGGTCTCAGCCCCCTCTGTCCCGGGGAGAAAGAACATGCAGCTCGCCGAGCCCGCCGTGATCCCGGGGCCGGTCAGAAGAGGCAGTGAAAACGTGCTTGCCGTTTTTTTTTTACTGGAGCAGTTTTTTTTTTTCTTTCTTTCCGCTGTTTCTTGTTCGCGGCACCTGCAGGGAAAGCCTGCGCTCAGCCAGTAGCACGGATCCGAGGGAGGGTGACAGTGACCGGCGGCGGGAGAGCCACCCTGGCTCTGCCGCACTCACCGCTCTGTCACTGCGTTCGTGTGTCTGGGGCAGCAGCACGGCACAGCGGGGCTGCAGGGCTGAGCCGGCCAGGAAAGCACAGGGCCCTGGGGGAGCCCCCGCCGCCCCCCGCCGCCGCGTCACCCCGCAAACACGGCCCAGCCCGGGTCGGTCTTCGTGAGCGTTTCAATTCAGAGGCGGAAAGGGTTTCCTGTAGGGAATCTTGGTTCTCTCCGAGCGTCTCTCCCACGGGCTGCCCGGCCCCGTCTCCAGCCCTCGGTCTGGAGTGAGGGTCACTCTTGATCGGGTTGGAAAGGGCGGCGGGAAGCCCGGGCGGAAGTCTGTTCTCTGGGACGATCAGACCGTGTTCTGAGCACGTGACTGCATCACAGCCTTTTGTTCCCCTCTGTTCTCCCCGTAGTTAAGATCCTTCTGTTCTACGTGATATTCTACGGCTGCCTGGCCGGCATCTTCATCGGCACCATCCAGGTGATGCTGCTCACCATCAGCGAGTTCAAGCCCACCTACCAGGACCGGGTGGCCCCACCAGGTAAAATGACCGTGCTGAGTCCACTTCTTCTAGAAGTGAAATGAGTGTCAGTCACTGTTTCGACGGAGACGGTTCTTCTGGAAGTTTTCTGTAAGGTGTCGTAACCCAGGCCTGTAAGGGGAGCGAGGACCCTCCCCTGTCACCGGGCCTCCCAGCCCGACCTCGGCTCGGCCCTGAGGATGGAGCGCCCTGGTCCCCCACCCAGCCGGCCCCTCACCAGCCACGTGACTGACGCCCAGGGGTCGGGTGGCGGGATCACCCCAGGCCCTTTCCGCTCTCGTGCTCACTTTTCACTTTCGCGAGGGGACTGTGACTCAGAGATCCTCAGAAACACCACTCTGGCTCCCGCTTTTAAAGATTGACTGACGTTTAGGGGCGACGACAGGCTCTGAGATGGCCGGCTACGGCCAGGACTTCCGGGGGCCATTCGCCCACCTGCTCCTGACTTGCAGTCGACCTGCAGCAGAGGAGTGCGCTGTAGGTTCCACTTCCCAGCGTTCCTGCCGCTTCGTCCGGCGAGAGCCCGCCTTCTGGCTTCCTGGACCCGCTCGGCTGCCGAGCAGCTTCAGCTCTGAGGGTTATAGAAAATGCAGAATGCCACACAAGTGCCCTGCTGTGATTTGGGTGCTGTCAGCCGGGTGACCTGCAGCCGCGCTTGTCCACACTGGTCGCTAAGCCCCAGGGAGGCGCACTGCCGTACACCTGGCTCTGGCAGAAGTCACAGACGTGACTTCTGTCTGGCTCTTAGAAGTCATTGTCGGGAGGACCTAGGGGGAGAGGAAGTGTTGTGTAACTTCCGGGCTCTCTCCTTATAAATGACCTCGAGGTTGCCTGGGGGGCGGGGGAGGGTCGGCAGTGATGTCCCTGTCCACGTCCCCTGGGCAGCGGTTTAGGAACCGCTGTATTTGGGTGACGATCTCAAGGCCGTCTTCGTGGCACCGAGCAGCTTCGATCACCTGCGGCTGCCTGTCACAGGCTTGTCACGTCCACGTCCTCCTTGGGTGTGGGACTCGGGAGAAACCTTCAGACGTGGAGGTGGCAGACGCTGTCTTTTAGCCCTAAGTCAAATAGTCCCCTGCTGGAAGAAAAACCTTAAATCTTGGGGATTTTGCAAGTGGAGAAAGAAAACGTGTAAGTATACGAGATGACTTAGACCTGCTTAATAACCCACAGTTCCCAGCAGCGGTCTCCCCAGGAGAGCTGGGGACCGGTGGAGCAGGGGTTCTGGCGTGTGCACACACTTGGGATCTTAATCGTGTCGCACGCTGGCTTTTGTGCCAATACAGCACGCTGTGTCTCTGTGTGTCCTGTTAGAATTTTTATGCTAGCATCAGTAGTCCTGACTGAAATTTGTATAGACTTTTTCTTTTTCTTTCTTTTTTTTTTTTTTTGCCATTTAAAAGCTATTCTGTAGTCACGATGCTATTTTATAATAATTCTCATCGTCGAAGCCACAGGCGACCACGAAGGCCAGCATTTTCTTTGATTTCCCGGGTTTAAAACATGGCCCCTGACTCCGTAAACTCTGGGGAGTCGGCCTTTAATTAAGATGAAAAGGCTCCTTTGTGCTCTTTGCAGAATTTCGCCACACCTGTTAAGCAGGGCCTCACCGATGACCTTGCCCGGGGAATCTGGTGGCCGAGATGCTTGGTCCTTCCAGCTCCCTCCCCCGCCGCCTCCTCGCCCCTTCCTGAAACACACGTTCTCGGTCCCTATATTTAGTGTCCTCGCAGCAGTTGGACGGACCTGACAGACGGTGGCTTGTCCAAAGGAATGCTGGTGGCTCATCCTGGAAATATGCGTCCCCGTCTTTGGTCTGAGTCACAGGGACCGGCTTCCGCGGTCCTCCAGCCTCCCCGTCCTGTCACCTGGCTCCCGAGCCACCTCTCTGTCTCTCCTTCCCCTCCTTCCCTTACTCTGCCCGGAGAATCTAGGCCAAGCCCCCCTTTACTGTCACCTTTCCAAGGAACATGACGTGACGTTCCTTTGCAAACGATAGTGGCCTTGGAGCAGGGAGGCCAGGTCGGCCCGGCACTTGCCAACGGCGGTGCTGCCGCGGACCGTCCCCGAGTGCTCGGCGGGACCCTGAGCGGGTCCTCCTCGTGGCCTCTCTCGGAGAAACTCCTGAGATCGTGCGTCATTGTCGGTGCCAGCGACTCCCTCAGCGCAGACTGGAAGAAAAGCCTGGCCGTGCCCAGCTTCAGCTCAGGCCTCTCTCGTGATGAGGTTCAGCCAGGAAAGTTGTCTGTTTGAGTGACGAGAACCCAGTGAGTGTTAAGGACTTGGCACATACTTAACATTTAAAGACTCACCGACGTTGTTAGCTGAATCTGAAGCACGAGGACCTGTGTTTTGACGGCCCTTCCCGGGGGCCATCTTGTCATTAGACCTCTTGTCAACGCAGGGGCGAGTGTGGCCCCGTGAAGCAGTCACGTGGCACGTTTGGGGCTGCCCGTCTCTAATGGTGGATAAGCTGATGGGCCAAACGTGAGAGTCTCAGAGGAAGGGCTGAATTACAAAATGAAAGCGCAATTTAGGGAAGAAAGCGGATCCGTGTGCCGTTTCTCGGTGGCCACTCGCGCACATGACACCCCTTACGCAGTCGGGCAGCTGGGGGACGCTGGAGCAGGACCTGCCCACTCAGGCCGGAGGCACAGGGCGCAGGCCGCAGCCACAATGAGTGTGTCAAGACGGGAAACTGCCGTCGTCTAGGTCGGAGAGGGCGCTTGCCGGCCGTTCGCGCTGCCTGACCACAGTCCCAAAGCAGCGTGGCGCCGACTTCACAGTAGAGACTGGAAGGAGGCGGGGACTCTGCTGCTGGACACAGTGTCCCCGCTCCCTCCCACGCACCACGTGGCCGCAGTGGGCCTCAGTTCTCTCGTCTCAAATGGAGGTGGGACCCTGCGAGCATCAGACAGGCTGAACACACGTCAAGTGAACAGTGCTTTAATGGCACCGGGGCAGCCGTGCACGGCCACTGCGCCTGCTGAGGCCGCCGTATCCTGGGTGCTGAATTCAGTGTCCCCGGGCTGTGGGCCGGGATGACACAGTGAGGGGCTCTGCGCGTTTACATTTTCCTGAAGCTGATTGAGTCTTAGCTTTCTATGCAAGGTGTTTGGGAGATGTTGGATTAAGAAATACGTTTTTAAAAAAAGAATTAAGGAAGTTTTAAAGACACCACGTGCTCTGTAATTTCCCCCTGTAAAGTCCCTCTGTCTGTGGGTTGGACCCCGCCAGGCCTCTCTCCTGGGTCGGGCAGACCCTCGTGGCAGAGTCGGCCACGTCCCCCTCCCCGGTGGCTGTGGGGGGGTCTGGAGCAGACTCCCCTGCACATCCAGCTCGGGCTCACCCGGCCCTGTCCGTGACCTGACCCCTCGCCACTGGCCCAGTGGTGTCTAAAGGAAAAGTCGCCCTTCCGTTCACGCGGCCCTACCCCACCCGTGCTGGCTGAGCAACAGCGAACAACGTGAAGGTCACCGGGTGTCGGTCGCGGGTCCACGGGGGGTCCCGGGCAGCATGCTTCCTGCCAAGCAGGTAGCGTGTTTACTCTGCTCCCTCCTCCTGAGATCGTGGGCGGCTTCTGCTTGGCTTTGAGGTGCAGATGTCACAGAGCCGGGAGAATTCATGAACATGGGTCGTATTCTGGGGACTAGAATCAAGGGGGGGTCCAGGGGGCTGCAGCCAGCGGACCCTGGGCGCGTCCCACCGTCTCGATCCCGTCTCGGTCGGTGTCGTCAGAGCAAAACGTCTTCAGATCCATTAGGGTCCAAGGCGTCTTAATTCACATCTCAGCGTAAGTGAAATTCTTGAGACGTCATCGCTGCGGTTTCAGAACTGCCTGGTTTTCGTCTGTCACACTCGTGGGACTTTCTTCCCCTTAAATTCCAGAGGGAGCGCTCGGCTTCCTTCTCCTCCGCTGTTTGGTCCCCAGAGTGCCACGCAGGTGTTTTTCCGCCATTTCCGATTAGAAACGGTTTGTCACCTGTGCGCTGACGTGATAAATTCACGACACCTCTCCCGTCCCCCGTCCTCTGCTCGCGCCCAGGTCCACCCTGCACCCCCTCCCAGAGTTGTGGGCAGTGGCTGAGTGGGCACAGGGCAGCTAGAGTTTCCAGAAGCTGCTGCCCAGACTCAGGTTGGCAAAGGGCCAGGTGGACAAAGCCCGGTTCTTGTTCCTCGGCGTCCCCAGTCTCAGGGGCTTCCACAGCTCACCACGTTACCCTTTCTTCATTTCTGAGGATAAGGATATAACTAATAAGTCAGCTCAGGTGCACAGGAAGCCTAATGATTAACTTAAAAATGTCAGATGCGGCCACAGAAAAACAGGTCCTATTCTGTGCACCCCTTTTAGATGCGTAAGCAGAAGAGAGAGCTCTGATAAGTAGGCCCAGGTGACACAGCCCACGGGGAGGATGGTAGGGGCGAAATGCTGAATCTGTGGAGCCTCACCGAGGGCTCCAGTGCCGCCCACCCCGGGCCTCCGCCTCCAGAGCTCAGAGGCGACGGGCCTGGCACTCTTTGGTGGCTCAGTGCTCTCGTCCCAGTGATCTCCCGACCCGATGGCTCATCTGAGGCAGACCAGAAGAGAGAGAAGTTGGGGTGACCGAGGGGAACAGGGCGGTATTACACAGTGGCTTCCAACCAGGGAAGTGCGTGTGCACGTGAACCGACACTATCAAGTATCTTATTTCAGAGTATCAGTCACCTAGCACATGTCACGTTTTGTATCCAGGCAAGTCGGACGTACTGTACGTGCTTGTCCTTCACTTACGCCTTGAACAGAAAAGCACAGTGGACGTAACATGCTAGGGTTCGCCTCTAGGGTCACAGCTGCCCCTCGCAAAGCGGTTCTTTTTGCTGGGAACAAGCGGAGGTTTGCCCCACGAGCGCCACGCGCTTTGTAGGACAGAGCCTCTGAACGAAGTAATCCCCTCCCTGCTCACCTGACGACGAGTCTCCGTACGGTGACCCGGCCTCCCTCCGGAGTGGATGGCACTTAG